TTGGCGATGCTTGTTGCCAAAGGCATATTTGAAATGGTTACACTTGGCTTTCTCATGGTTGGGCACACTCATGAAGACGTCGATGCCATGTTCAGTCACCTGGTAGAGTCCCTCCGGCGATCCAATGTCCTCACCCTCCCACAACTCTACGATGAATTCCAAAATTGCATCAAAGGCACTGTTGAAGCTGCACTTGTGACAGAGGTTCCAGACTTTAAGGGGTTTGTAAGAGGCTACATCAGGGACGGATCCGAAACGCTGATTGGCCACTCCAAGCCTCTTCAGTTTCATTTCAGCATGCGTGACGGTGCTCTAGTGATGAGGTACAAGATGAGAGAATGGGACACAGTGTGGCTGCCAGTGGACGGCATTGAACTCTTCAAGAGAGATCCCATAACTGGGGAACCTATGATTCCTCAGGGTTCCCCACGGCCGATGCACCCGGATGGACTCAAAGACCAGGAAAGTATAGTGGCCGGGATTAGACAGCATATTGCCTTCTGGAAGAGGGGGTTGGTGTTTGGTGGAGAATCCTATTTTCAGAGGTGCAAGCCTTTGCTCGAATACTGGGAGAAGATTATATTTGCTATCCAAAATGGGCCGGTTGTATATGAAGAATTGGAAGAGTCCTTTTGGCCAGAACCCAGAGCACCAGATAGTAGCGGAACAATGTCCTCTGGAAATGCAGTGACAGATAACGATGTTGAGGATCACTATTGTGGGCCGAGGAACAAGAAGCCGGATTCAGCATTCAATCCAGTACAGGTCTGCAAAGGAATGGTCGTGTTTGTCAGACCCAGTAATAAAAAACAAATGATATGGGTGGGGCGCTGCATCACTGATGCAGAGGAGGACGCGGAAACTAACTCCTTCAATGTAACTGTGGAGTGGTTCAAGCCAAGTTCCGGATATACGAAGGATTGCCTAGAAAAGAGATGGGTGCTGAATCCAAGGGATCCCAGCATGAGCATATCGGTGGATAATGTTGTGCATGGTTGGATGCGGAAGCAGAGTGCCACCATCACCTTGCTAGACCATGCAAGAGATGCAGCAAGAGCATTCATAACCCGGGTTCAAGGTGAGATTTATTAATATTCCTTTACTAAGTTTCTAATGTATTTTATTTCAAGGTGAACAATCCGAATCTAAATCAGAGGAGGCGTGATGGCATGTGGCCTTACGCCATTCCTAGGTGAGATGATACAAATAACAAGTATAAATTCTTAGTTGTTCTAGCAAATCTTACTTAAAGTTTAAGGTGAACAAGCCGAATATGAATTCATTGGATTGTTATAACAAATTGCGAGGTGATGGCATGAGGCAATACGCCATTTGAGAGTGGTAGCCATTCCTATATGAGGTGAGTGAAATATTTATTAGAAATACCTCATTCAATTGTGCACTTCTAAGTCTTGGTCCACTCAGTACTGTTTGCATGTTTCTATTTTAATTCTTTCTCTAAAATGTTATTTAGCATGTGGCTTCATGCCATTGCTCTCCACAATCATGCATTGAATTTTTCTATCCTTGCATAATACTTCTCCATATATATAGCATGTGCGCACATGTGATATGGTTCATTAGGCCTGATATAGTGTGTGAGGTAAAACAAAGATGATGTGACATATACATTTACCAATCACACGTGCATAAATCTAATAATATGGCGTGTGGCCTATATTAATGGCACATAAACCCATATTGTGGGCTTACATGCTTTATGTACCATCATTCCCTTGCAGCGTGTGTGTTGGTTTCCTTTTATAACACAACGAACTCCATATTTTAGGGTGAAGAGCATTCTCATGGCAAGCACAAAATCTGTAAGTGAGGCAGAAAAGGAAACGGAGAAGGAGATAGGTGAAGATGTAGAATATATAAGTCTTCCAAACTCCCCGTACTATACTCCAGGTGATCATTTTTCTGAACAAACGGCAACATTAACAACTATCGAGAACGCCCCAGTAACGTCAGAGACAACAATCCAAAGCAAAACAACTGACCCGGAGAAGGATGATAGTACTGCTGAGAGTACCAAAAAGGAGGTGTCCACTAGCGCTTAGGCTTATAATGGCGTGTGCCCTCATGCCATTTACTTGATCACCAAATACCTTTTTCCCTTTGCACTAGTATATCTTAATACCGGTTTGAGAAATAGAATGGCATGTGCCCTCAGGCCTTTTACTAAATCACCTTTGAAAGAAATGCAAGCCTCTATGTCGTAAAAAAAAGGTACTAGAGAAATTCCTTAATAATATGAATGTTATTTAGTTTCATGAAAATACACTAAGGGTCAAATGAGTTAAATGACTTCTCCATACTAGCAATGCCTCTTGCTACACCTTTACAATTAGATTTGTTAGAAAAAAATAACATTGAATAATATCTAAATGTTCTCACCATTAAGTTATATGTCTAGCTAATAAGAATGATGTTCATCTTGGAAAGCTCACCACACGCTCAATGAACAAACAAATAGTGTGTGCGCGCATGCCATCGCTCTTCTTTAGCTTCAGATTCGGCTTGTTCACCTTGACAATGAGATTTATTATACAACCAGATGGACTCAGTCTGGACACAAAGTCACCGCGCTAGTCACCATGCCCCAGATATGTCTAGCCCCTGGACAAAAAACATATAATTTCACGTCATTTTCAAATACTTGAAAATTTGTACCTAGTCCCATTTTACTGAATAAATCCCACTTTAACGAAATAGAGCTTACAACCGCACATACTTCGTCAACCAATCCACTATGACCCATACTTGCTCCTTTTTCCTCTGTGTTCATGGCAAACAAGTGATGAAGTCCATAGAGACACTACACTAACGGATTTGAGGAATAAGTAAAGGTCCATAAGCTTGACCATCCAATGAGCTTGCCTAGAATTCAACTCCTTCTGTGTGAAAAGATACATAAGTGGTTTGTGATCTGTTAACACCACAAACACTGCACCATAAAGATAGTGCCGCTACGTCCATAAAGCATGAACAATAGAGAGTAATTCTTGCTCATATATGGAATAGTGTTGCTCCACAGAATTCAAAGTTTGACTCTCATATGCAATAGGCTATCCCTCTTGCATGAGAACTCCTCCCAGTGCATAACCACTTGCATCGCATGTCACCTCGTAAGGTTTCAATGGATCAGCAATGTGAAGCACTAGAGTCTCGTTCAACAATCATTGCAACACCACAAAACTCTCCTCTTATGGCTTCTTTCACTCGAATGGTATATTCTTGCGTAACAACCGTGTCAAAGGAATAGCCACCTCTGCAAATTTATGCTGGAAACATTAGTAGTAACTAGTCATACCAAGAAAACTATACAACTCAGCCACTGTAGTCAGTGTAGGCCAATTTTCCACCACAGCCACCTTCCTTGGATCTGTTTTGATGTCACAATATGGCCTAGATATTCCACCTCCGACTTTGCAAACTCACATTTGCTCTTATTCGCATGAAGTTTGTTGTCTCGGAGTAACAAAAGAACCTTGCGCAAATGCATCTTATGCTCCCCATATTCTTGCTAAAAACAAGAATATTGTCCAAGAAAATCTCCACAAACTCATGAAGATAACACCCAAATGCCTCCGTCATCAACTGAGTAAATGTGGCTGGTGCATTCATCAAACCAAACAGTATAATTGTAAACTCAAAATGTTCAAAGTTTGTATTGCACGCCGTCTTGGAAATAGATGCATCATCCATTGCAATTTGATGATATCCACTCCTTATATCAATCTTAGTAAACACTCGTGCTTCACTAAGCTTGTCTAGAATATCATCCACATGTGGCATCGGCATTTTATCTTTCACTGTCTTCTTGTTTAAAGTGCGGTAGTTAATACACATCTGCATTAAACTATCTTTCTTCTTCACAAGTAAGACCGGAGCACCAAATAGAGACTTACTTGGTTGAATAAATCCAAATTCAAGTAACTCCTTGACTTGTTGTTGAACTTCTTGCTCTTCCACATAACTTAACCGAAATGGATGCCGGTAAATTGGCCGCATCCCCGACTCCAATGTAATCCCATGCTCCACACCTCGTAACAGAGGCAACTCATGAGGAAGTTCAGAATTGAAACACAAAAAAATCAAAAATTGTTAGTCCTTGCCTTTGTATTCATGCAGATTGTAAATGGTCTAAAAGGTGGATTTTCATGCCTATTCACTTGTATTCTTAAATGCATTAATTCGTTCAAGTGTAGTTTTTTAAAAAAAATGCAATGGTAATGACTCTTTTGAGTCTTTTATTTTTGTTCTTCTTTGATTAGTCTATCTCCACTCTGGTGCAAGTTTCTGGATGAACACGTTGGCATCCTGCCCACAACTGCAACCTCTTGGACAATGGAGAGCGATGGCCTCCAGGAACCTAGTTGCACTTGCCTTTTCACATGTAACTAGGTAACCCTGATAATCTCCTTTTCACGTCTAACTAGGTGCCTCATGTCCACAAACCAATCCTTGCTACACACAGTAGTGAGCACATCGTCTCCCCTCACCCAGAGACAGCCCTGCTTTCCGGGGTAAAGCTTCACACCGTTGAGTAGCCCCCCATGGAAATCTGGCCGTACTCCATCATCCCATACTGCTGTACCAGGCAACGGGTGCCAAGTGTCACTCAAAGATCAAAGGAACTGAGGAACACGAAGGAAGAACAATAGAGAAATAAAAGAGATAAAAGCAGAGGTTGAAGAAAAAAAATGAAAGGGAATAAAAGTGAGAGGTGTAGGAGAAACACTATAAAAAACAAAGCAAAAGGGAGAGAATTCAAGGCTTGATTCAATTCAAACCAAGAATGATGCCAAAGCTTAACTCAGCACCACCCACAAAAAACGAAAGTGAAACTCATGTCCATCCACATGAACAACAATGTCGGTCTCATCCTGGGAACACATATTTGCAGCCTTGAGTTCCTCTGGAAGGAATAGCTGCGTGGAAGTGAAGCAGTAGCATGCACGTCGAGTTGGCCGGCGTGGCTGCAGCACTTTAACTCCTTTTAAACTTACTTTAATTGCGATCATCTATAGTCGGCCACTCATAGGTGGTCAATGTTTAAAGAAGCCAACGTAAATCATAGTGGCAACAGACACAAGGATGGCAAAGAGATCAAACGCAAGTGCTGTCTGTTGCTGGTCGCTCAGCTTGAGATTCTTCCCGTCGAGCACTTCAATTGGGTCTAGCTTGGGCTGCCACTCGGTTTTCCATTTTGGAGGCTTGCTGCTTTCTCTGAGCTGGCTTCTATCCACTTCGTAAGGCCAGATGAATCTGCCCCCTCTCGCTTTGGATGCCTCCTGCGCCAAGTGCCAATCGTAGAGCTTCCTGTCGTCCTCGCTGCTCAACACGTTGTACGCTTCCTTGAGACGGAGAAATTTCTTTCCCGCTACCTCTAGAGGGAGTGTGGTGGAGTCAGGATGGTACTGCTTAGACAGCTTCCTATAAGCCACTTTAATTTCCTCTGTGTCAGCTTCAGGTGTGATCCCCAAGAACCTGTGGATCCACAAGCGAAACCGCAAGATCACACACAGTCAATGGTGGGCTTCGGTTTTACTCACTCGTAATGTGTTCCCGATACGTGTGCTATGAGATCCGTAATGGTGTCGTCCAGTCCAGCTTGATCGTCTTTGCCCTCTTGTGTTGCTGCTGCTGCTTCAGCTGCTGCCCTTCCTCCTCCTTGGCCCTCCTTATCCGGATCATCATCTTTGTCAAATCGGATCCATCCTTCGTCCGGAGAGCTCCATTCAATCATTCTGTTGGCTCGTTTGTTGGGAGCGTTGGGCACAGCGGAGCATTTGATGGGCGAGGAGGATCCCACCTTGAGCTGAGGACGAGGACGGCCATGGCAAGAAGAAGAAGAGCGGCTCAGCAGCATGATAAAAACTGGAATGTATGGCTGGGACAAGATAAGTACCTAGGAAGCCCTAAGTAGAGAGTCAATTTAACTCTTGTTGAAGCTCAGAGAGAGAGAGAGAGAGAGAGAGAGAGATGAGTGCCTCTTTAACGATCGCTGGTTTGGCATCACTTGCGGCCCGGCGAGATGCCCAGAGGAGACGGGTGTGTCGGCTCTACAGGAAGGCGCTCCACCATACCCTTGATTGGGTCATATTCCGGGAGCCCTTCTACAAGGAGGTGAGGAGGCGTGTTGCGATCCAAGCGTGCATTCTTCTTCTTGTGTGCTTGTGCAGGCATCTAAGCTGAGAGCCAGATTCGATGTCAACAAGGATGTGGTAGATGTGGATGCAATAGAGAGGCTCATTGTCAAGGGAGAGGCCGAGTTCAAGAAGTTCCAGCATCCAGAGCCATACGCAGGTTTGTTTTTCTCCAATGTTTGTGTGCTCACCAACATTTCGTCCAATCTACAGTTCCTTGGTCCCCTGAAGGCGTAACGTATGCAAGAAACCCACCTCTCCCAGCCGAGGTTTGTATCTTTTATATTCAGATCTTGCAACTCTTCTCATTCGGGCTTTGATCAGGTTGTGGTTGTAAAAGATTGGGGGAGGGAAGACTGGAGCACTCACTAGAGGGCCTTTTTTGAGAATAAGTTTAGTCTTCTCTCCACCGGAACGAGCAGTTTGGATTGCAGCACCTGTAAAAGGCTGTGCTTGGCTCGTCCGCCGATCTGATCTGGACCAGCATAAAGTAGGCATGCCCATAGTTGCACTTGGCACAGGTAACTGTCCAGCCCCACGGTTGTAAGAAGCTCAGAGCTCATTCACACACACATACCTGGTGTGCGATCGCAATTCTTCCATGCGTCTTCTCCCCCCATAACGTCGTCAACCTCCTTGTTCTTGAGAGGGATCGGCTTGCTGATCTGAGAGGGAAGAGGCGTGAACGAGGAGAGAAAGCAGGAGAGCAAACCTTGAGGTCCACGCCGAAAATGTATGCACAGGTGGGGCAAAAGTATCTCAGCCTGCCAGCGTGCTCCACCAGCAGCAGGCTCGAGCATGTCGGGCAAAACTCCATCGGGGAACCCTAAACAGGATCCCTAAGAAGCTCTAGTGTGTATGGCAGCGGCGGCGGCGGTGCCCAGCTTTGGGGAGCTGGGAGTGCGCGAGGAGCTTGTAGACGCCTGCACCAAGCTCGGATGGAAGGCACCCACGCCCATCCAGGTGGAGGCGCTCCCGCTGGCTCTGCAAGGTTTGTGTGTGTCTTGTTCGTGCGCGTGTGTGTTCAATCTCTCCACGCTTGTTGCTGACAGGCCGGGACTTGATCGGCCTCGCGCAGACTGGATCCGGGAAGACAGCGGCTTTCGCGCTGCCTATACTTCAAGCGCTGTTCCAGCAATGCCACCCATTCTTTGCGTGCGTCCTGTCTCCCACCAGGTAAGAGAGCACAGGCGAGGAGAACTAATTACCTGGATGGATCATCAAATGCAGGGAGCTGGCCATCCAGATATCGGAGCAGTTTGAAGCGCTAGGATCACAAATCGGCGTCAGGAGCGTGGCTGTAAGAGTTGCTCTATCACCTGTTTTCGTCAGTTCCTTGTTGCGTGCTTGCTCGTGGACAGATTGTTGGAGGCGTCTCTATGGTGGATCAGGCTGTTGCGCTGGGCAAGAACCCGCATATTGTGGTATGTTCTCTGCACGCAAGCACCGAGCTTTCTTACGACACTCCTCTTTCCACCAGGTAGCCACACCTGGAAGGCTGCTGGATCACCTCACAAACACAAAAGGCTTTAGCTTGCGAAACGTCAAGTACCTGGTAAAGATGACATGACACACCTTTTCTTCCCTTAAGGTCCGTGCTTCTTTGTGATCAGGTGCTTGATGAAGCGGACAAGATCCTGCACAACGATTTCGAGAAGGAGGTCGATGAGATCCTCAAGGTTGTCCCTCGGGAGAGGAAGACGTTCCTCTTCTCTGCTACAATGACAAACAAGGTGCGCTTTGTCTCCTGCTTTTTTCTCGTTCCGTTCATGTTCAACGTACGAGCAGGTGGCAAAACTTCAACGAGCCTGTCTTCGAAATCCGACAAAGGTTTGTGTTGCCTGTTTGCGGTTGCCAGATACTTGAGACAAGTGCATTGCAGGTGGAAGTCTCCTCCAAATACACTACCGCTCTTACCCTGAAACAAGAGTATGTCTTTGTTCCTGCCAAGCACAAGGTTTGCACCCGTGTTCTTGCTGTTTGAGTTTTGTCTCTTGTCCACATTGGCCAGGACTGTTACTTTGTATTCCTGCTAAACGAGATGGCGGGGAGTACGGCAATGGTTTTCACAAGAACCTGTGACAGCACGAGGCGGCTGGCATTGATTCTCCGTAGCCTTGGATTCGGTGCTATCCCCATCAGCGGCCAGATGAGCCAGGTAAGGGGTCTTGGTTCGTCTATCCAACCAAACAGAGATGAGCTCACAGGTTTCCTCTTGTGCAGTCCAAGCGCTCGGGTGCCTTGTTGAAGTTCAAAGCTGGCGACAGAAACCTGCTCATATGTACTGACGTCGCCAGTCGTGGCCTCGACATCCCATCTGTGGATGTGGTCATCAACTACGACATACCAACAAACTCCAAGGCAAGTTTCATAAGATATTATCAGCTGCTCCTGACTCTCCCTTTCTCTCCCCTGGCTTTTGCAGGATTACATACATCGCGTAGGAAGAACGGCCCGAGCTGGGAGGTCCGGGCGTGCAATATCCATTGTCACCCAGTACGACGTGGACCTGTACAAGAGGATAGAGGACTTGATTGGTAAGTGATCATGGACCTCTTGTTTGTTCTAACACTGCTTGTCAGGCATGACTCTCCCCGAGTTTCCAGCAAAGGCGGACGAGGTCTTGTTACTCGAGGAGCGCGTCAGTGAGGCGCAGAGACTAGCTGCAATGGTTTGTACTCTTCTTTATTCTATGTACTGGTTGGTTGGATTACATTTTCTTGTGTGTGTGCAGCACATCCGAGAGAAGGACGCGTCCAAGAAATCCAAGAAGCGGCGGAACGGCGACGACGATGAGGCAGACGATGGTGGCTATGTGGCTGGAAAGAGGAAGCAGTCGAAGAAGCGCTAGAAGGAGCACGTCCTGGTGAAGTACTGGCGCTGGGGAGGCAGGGTGGCCACAAGCCTCTTGCTGCGCAAGTCGATCTCTCGGGCCTCTTGACAGAAGGCGCAGGGGAAGCACAGGCAGTGGACGCAGCAGTCACAGAGAGGAGACTCTGGGAGGTGGAACACGGATCGCAGCTTGCGCCTGTACCAGCACGAGTATGCGCATCCGCACAGGCACGACTGGAGGAGGAACCAGAGCAGACAGGCAGCCACGCACGAAGTCTGGCCCCCGTCGAGAATCTCCACGTTCCTTCCCAGCGCCACACAGGGGCACAAACAGCCCAAGACACAAGTGGGGATGTCCGTCAAGCAATCGCACAAACCCGACTGCCACCCCTCCTCGTCGCCGCCGCCGGACACAAACCCCGCCTCCGCGTATCGTTGATAGGCAGCCGCATAGGCCTCGTCGCCACTGGAAGCCATCGCCGATCGCCAAATAGTATCAACCCTAGCTTAAATTAAATCCCTTTGAAGACCATTTACGCGGCTGGAATCCGCGTCCGTGACGTGGTGCGGTTGCCGTGCGACTCCGGCAAGCTTCACTGCCCTGTTTCGAATGTGAACCGGCACGGCTCGAAGCTCGTCTGTCCATCCGGCCCTGGCATCAGCACGGGAAGGGAAGCAGTGCATCGTAAGTTTCCTTCCATTGCAGTATAATTGCCACAGTGCCCAAGAGCAAGTCATCTGCTTTCTGTTGAGGAATGCGAAACCAAACACAGCTTGGTCACAAAGACTTATTGTCACTTTCTATTGCCAGAAGCAGCACACTTGCTTAAAAATCCGCTGCACCACCTCCAGGGAACCGGTTTGGACTCGGACACCGCCTTCAGCACCTCCCCACTGAGTACAGGTAGCTGGAGGAACGAACAAAGTCAGCGGAGAGAAGATAGCTAGCCACGTCTCCTCCATTAAATGTGGCTCCGACTGCTCCTTCATCCTACTCCTCTGGAGATTTCATGCGAGTTAGACTGGCGAGAATCCTATCAATCAGCTGCTGGCCATGTGTAGCACTTCAATCTGGGATGTCTGCCTGTAAACCCGATCTTGAGAAAGGACACGTATAGTCAGCTCTCTTATGGTTCTTGACAGCAAGGGACAGCATGCCAGAGCTCTCTAGCAAAGGGAAGAGATCGATTTACCCTGGGCCAGTTTTTCATGAGCGTCCTGCTGGCTTGCAAGAAGTGCAAAGAGCCACATAGGCAGCCAATTTGCGTACATACCACTTAAACATCGTGCACAAGAACCCGACGATGGGGATGGCGTGGGAGTTTGACATCATACCCCAACACGGCATTATTGGAGTATAGATTTAAAATAGTGATTAAATCAAATTCTCATTGCGGATGGGCGATAATAATTCAAATAAACGTCTGCGAATCACCCCCTTCACTCATGCCTTCTTCTTAAGATGATGTGCGCCCCAAGTCTTGGTTGCCTACTGTAGCTACATCCTTGTTCCATCCTTGTTCTCCCGTTACAAGCGGCTAAAACCTCACGCACAAAAGAGGATGGATATCTTACCGTAGGGGGTCTTTACTCTTCTGCGATTTCGAAGTTCCTTGTGTTGCCAGTTACTTGCACTGAAATCGGTAAAGCGCATTAGGACGACAAGTGTTTTAGACTAATTACCTTGTGAGTTGTACAGATCGCCATTCATCACAGACTGTGACGCTTCCCGCTGTTTCTTCTTTTTCCTTCGACTGGCTGTCGCCTCGGGGTTCACTACCTTCACTCTCTTCCAGTTGCCTCTTCTTCCCAACTGTCAGTTCTGCTTGGTCCACATCTGCTACTGGCACTTTGTCCCTCGCCACCCTGAGAAATGCATGGTTCCCAGCTGCAAATCGTTTTTGGACAAAGCGGACATGGCTTCCCCAACCTTTTGTGAAGGTTGCTGCTCTGACATCTTTAGGTCCTCCTTTAGCTTCCTCTGCCTCTCTGCTTCTTGCAATGCTTGCAAGAAGCTTCTTGTTGCTCCTCCAGCTTCTCCATCTAAACTTGTAACTCATGTATATTCTCGCTCCTCTGCTTGCTTCTTCACCCCCACTTTCTTGGCCATGTTCAATTATGTGCCGCAGATCAACATCACTGATCAGCTCTTCCCCTCCCTTTCGAGCCTAGACAAAATCACCTCTCTAGTATGCAGCTTCCCTTTCAAGTGCCAAGGTCTCCATTTCCCTGTCCACCCACTCACGGAGCTCTCGCTTTTCCTGCTTAGCCGTTTCGCCTCGTCATGCAGCCACTTCATTGACTGCGTTTTACTCAATTTCCTTCGTAAGCCTGTCCTTCCTTTCATTGAGACTCCGACTTCTCCTAGTTCCTAAGCTCGTCAGATTCAGTCATTAAGTCTTGTTGACATGCCCGGAAATCGTTTATACCTCTTTCAATCAGCTGAACCTTGAGAAGAACTTCCCTCTCATTCTTGATCACATCAAGTAATTCTCCTCCTGAATCACCTTGAACCCCTCGAGTTCATCTTTCTCGGACGCGAACGCCAGAGGAAGCTCCTCCTCAACTTTCTCATCCAGGGTGCAGAAAATTAGCTTTGACATGGCCCACAAAAACAGCTGTCAAATATAGAGGAACTAGTTCAGTCTGTTCCTTTTCTTATACCAGGTTGTTAGAGAATGCCCAGAAGAATGTAAAGCGGAAAATAAGCTTTATTTACGCATGCTGTCCCTCTTGCAGCAAACAATTTCAGTGATTAAGTTGGCAATCCAACATCTCTCGAACTGCACTAAACCTGCTCTACCTTTGACTTGGGCAATTTAAAATAATTCAAAATGTCCCCTCGTCTCCTTATGAAATGATCTTCCATTTTAAAATATGCTGTGCACAATTGCATAAGAGCATTAAGAAGTTTTTCATGCACAAAAATATAAAAATGAGCTATCCAAACATGTTTATATCCACTTACCCCAAGAAATAAATATGCAAATTTGTGTAAAATCAACACTCTACCGTCTTCTGAAATTTTGACTGATGACTTCTTACATCCTCCCAAATGCATGTAGATGGCAATTCCATGACAACTTGCCTCTTCTTTCGAGATGGCTCCCCCTGATGACTTTCATTCTCATCACTGTCATTTTCTTTATCTCTATATGTTGAATCCTTGAGTTTGTCATGATCGTCATCATCTTCAGCACGCAGACTCTGCTGTTTCATTTTCGTGCAGCTATGCACAGGACTATGGGGAACTTCATCCGGATCCACGTCCATGTGTTGGAGCAGTCCCTTGCCAGCCTCAGGGAGGACCTGTGGAACTTGGCAGGGGCTGGCTTCTGGACCATGGCTAGAGATGACTCCTGGAACCGGAGCCTGGCTGGAGCTGGCTTCTGAAACCGGAGCTTCCCCCCTGCAATGAACACTGGTGATTAAAAGCGAGTGAGAAAGAGAGCATACTCCAATGCAGCCTTGGCAAGCTTCTGAGTGTTCACAGAGTAGGTGTCTCTGATTCGAATCTGAACCCGGCTCGCATTCTGTCATCACGAAGCTCATACATCTCATCTGGCCCTGGCATCAGCACAGGAAGCAGTGCATCCTACGCTTCCTGGTTCCGTTGCGGTATGATCGCCACACTGACCAGAAAGCATAAGAGCAAGTCTTCCTTGGTGATCTGCTTTCTGTTGAGGATGATGAAGCGGTTGAAGCAGACAAGCCCTTTTACTTCCAGCGGTTTCCCACACAGCTTGGTCACAAAGCCCCGGAGCTTGACAGTGTACTCAGAACATTCCGCAATTTTCCAGGTGATGTATTTTCTTTCCTCCAACAGTGCTTGTTTCTAACATTCAACCATGCGTATTTCAGTGCATTCAGGGGCTTCCAGAGGGCGGAATGCATAGGATTTCTCTCATCGTTATACTTTACCAATCCAAACTGAACTTCTCTTTAAAAATCAGGGACTGGCCAGTGAAAAGGCTCAAGGACGTCAAACCGAAACATCCAAACTTAAGTATAGGAAAGAAAATTACAGTGGATTCGGCAACCTTGATGAACAAGGTATAAAAAACTTTTTTATAAGCTGATATTTTGTCTGCTGAACTAACATCTTCTGCTGGCAGGGACTCGAGGTCATTGAAGCTCACTATTTGTTTGGAGCTGACTATGATGACATTGACATTGTTATCCATCCCCAATCGATTATACCCTCCATAATCAAGCCATAGGTAATATTAGTTGAATGCTGCGTCAACACACAACTAACACATCTAGTCAAATACAGGATTCCTCCATTCTGGTGCAATTGGGGTGGCCTGACATGCGACTACCTATTCTTTACACACTCTCTTGGCCGGATAGGATTCCATGCTCAGAAATCACCTGGCCAAGGCTTGATTTTGTCAAGTAAGCTTCACATTTTATCACCTTGTCCTTTGGAAACATTTATTCACACCGGAGCTTTGAAACAGGACTGGATCGCTAACGTTCAAAGCCCCCGACTGAGCAAAGGATCCATCCATGGACATATCCTATGCAGCTGGAAGAATGGGAGGAACCATGACAGGAGTCATGAGCGCGGCCAACGAGAAAGCAGTGGAGCTCTTCCTAGACGAGAAGTAAGCAAAATAGTTGGTTTCCAAGGATTCTTTTCTCATGATTGGTTATTTCGACATCATCAGATTGATCGAGAAGACTTGCGAAACGCACAAGTGAGATTTTGTCAAGGAGCCAAGCCTGGATGTTATCCTCGCATCCGACCAATGGGCCCGGATTTACGCTGCGGAAGTCGCGGCACGGGCCTCTCTGGTATGAGAATATATATACACCTCTGTTCTTTGAACTAAAAGCTCTTGTTGCTTGCGGTTCTCGATCGACTTAATTCGTAAAACGTTTCTTCCAGCTTCGTAGTCAGGGACAGGGTCCAAGAATGTACGCTGGAGGTCTCAAAGTCAGTGGATCTTTCTTGTTATCACGCGAGGAAGAATGGTGGTTGCTGGCAACCGAGTCGTAACCATGAGCACCAGCAGCAGCAGGATGATCGCAATGAGCGTGCACTTCCGGGAGCTCCTCTGGTGCTGCTTGGCATAGTGGCTGCGAGTTCCCTGTCCACGTAGTTGGCCGCCATGCAATCATATCTCAATGAGCTTCCACCAGCACAGCCATGTCGAGAAAAATCTGGTGGAGTTCCAGCAAGTTTTTCTTGATCTCCTTTCCCTCTCCCGGATCTCCTCGTACTGGATCGCCCTCTGGACGAACACCGGTCTCGACTCTTGATGGTCTTGTGCTGCACCGTCCAATAGACAAGATCTGACAGACAAACTTGAACATGTCACTCGCCTCTCAAACTTGATCATCCAAAATGTAAATGTAAATGTGGCAAACTCATGTATGCCCGAAGTTCATCCAACTTTCACGAGTTGGATTTCAATCTAAACAACAAGCATTATCATGCTATTGCATCAAAAGTCATGCAGAAGAAATGGGCGGTAGCTGCAGAAGTACACGATCTTGAGCCCACACTACATTGAAGGTGGTAGCCTCCAAATCACCAAGCTCTGGAGCGCGGTTGCACACAACAACATTTGGAATACCAAATCCAGAATCAGCATGCATGGTGTGGTAATGCCACTGCCTCTCCTCCAAGTCGTAGACCACAATGAAGCGACCAGAGTCTACATCCGGATAGCTTATATTCCCCTGAGATATGCAAGCGTAGCGACCACCTGCCGTAAACCAAAACAAGTCACCACCTAATCTGTCAACCCCATCCTGGTATATGGGATGTGTAGCAACTTTTTGCCACCCTTCTTCACCACCCTGCCAGCTGAAGACCTGAAACTCTTCAAAAGGTATGCAAGACATCATGTAGAAGCTGCCCTCGTGCCAGTGGAAACCCTTAGGACGAACATTATCTGGCGCCGCCGGCAAGCCCTTGTATGATCGATTCTTGGGGTTGTAGTGGACGGATGGAATGTACGTATTTCCAATCTCCCTCACCTCTTGAGCATCCATTAACTCAAGCTCGACGTCTTCTTTCCCTTCAACATCTAACAGAGGCTGCCAGCTCCCGGTGGAGGAGACGTAGAGAAAGCAACCGTGGATTGCCATGTACGCAACGTAGAGCTGATCATGATATCTGTTGAGCAGCAAAGAGAATGGACCCATTTCGTGGCAGGAAGGGGCCAAGCGTAGGCCATGGCTTCCAATTAACTGCTCCGGGATCATGAGACGTTCTCCATCACACGGGCTCCATGCTAATGTGCAATCGTCTGTGCCATTGCCTCTGTGAACGAGGACCCAGGTTTTTGAATCATCCATCTCCTCTATCCTATTTGCTACTTTAACCGCTGAACCTTTAGCCGATGGAAACAGCTCCAGCCCTGGATCAGAGACAATCTCCCACTCACCATCATCACCCGGTAACCATGCTCAAGACCTCAACCTAATTATCTAGGGTTCATCTGGATCTATGGCTTACACTCTCATGCGCGAGGAGCTCTTGGACTTTGTGCTATCCGAGAAGCTGCTTGGTATTGATTGGCATAGTTCATTTTTCGTCTCTCACTGCTTACAGCTACTACAGTACAGGCTTTCAATTTTGACGATTGATACAAGGAGTGGTATATAGACCACGGATCCCAGGAGAACAATGTTCACGTGCTCGAAACAATGGCTTTTCCCGCCGAATTTTTTCCAAATGGCATCCAGCCATACAAAGGTATGGGAGTTAGAATACACCATACCTTGACTGGTGTGATTTACCACAAGGACGGCTACTTTTGCTCTACCCACCGTAGATGCTTGGCGGATGAGAAAATGATGAAGGCTCACAAAGCTAAGGAGATTCCAGGATACCATGTATGTTACACTGCTACTTTGAGAGGTATGTTTTATGTGTTTTATTGCTTTCTATTTATTCAGCATTGAATTTTAAGAGACATTATCCCACTTGAAATGGTGCTGATCTTTGGTGGACTTGGAAGTATTCCAAAATCACATGGCCACGGTATTCTATCATCACAAGCTGGGTTCCACAAGTTGAGTTCTATGAGTGGCCTTTTGTATCATTTTGTGATCACGAGGTATTTGATTTATAGATGATATTTTTTTTACAACATTTATTTTTCTATTTTCTCAGTATCAAAGACATAGAATGGATCATGGAGGGCACGGACTGGACTTTCAAGATCACCTGCATCAATTGTAAAAAGTAGATCCTACAGTGGTGAAAGGAGTTGTGACTGTACACAAAGAAGGTTGAGTTAAAAACTCAGGGAGAGCGCCTCGAATGTCTAACCGTAATCCATCCCTGCCAAGAACAAAAAGAATAAAGCAAAAACCCGTCTACCTATAGCATATGTTGGTGTTTCCTTCAAAACGTTCGCCAGCATCACGTAAGGCAAGTGCTTCCCCAGACTTTTGGAGTGAGTCGTCTCTAAACATTCTCCACTCCCTCGACTCCGGAGCTAATGCCATCCGAGTGTGTGATGCAAGCTCCAACGAAGGATGTCCAGCCGATAGCTCCAGGCCTGAGAGGCATCGAATTCAGCAACTCATGAGCCTCCGTTAACTTCCCAACTCTTCCCAGGATGTCAGCCAGTAGTGCTAAGTTTAGGGCTCTTGGTTTGTATGCATTGCCGCTGCGATATTCCGAGCGATTGACCGCGCGTCTAGTGATTTCTGGGAGCTGCCGATGGCTTTGGAGGCTGTCTTTAGCAAATGCTTTTCTGGAGCTGGGATTTCTCATGGATGTGGAAATTTCTTTCTAGGGGGATTTGCAGCAGCTGAGCTCGAGCTCCAGGTCGTGTTTCACAGGAAGGAAATTGGCAGTAACAGGTGCGTGAGACACGTTTTCGACAGCGACAGTGCTCATTCGTGCATGTTTGCAGGCGCTCAATGTGGTACCTCCTCCAGTACGCAGGAGTACCCAAGAAATGCTGGTTCCTCTAAGATACGCTGCTCGTCAAATGATCCTCCCTCAGCTTGGCCAGAGCAATGGTGGATGGAGCTAGGAAAAAATCCTGGGATGGACCAAAGCCCATTTCACTTCTTGGATCCACGGGCTCCATCGGCACACAGGTTAGAATCCCTGTTTTCCTTCGTTTCCTATGCAAGCGATGAGGATGCTAACGTGGTGTTGTGCCACACACTTGACATCATCTCGGAAAACCCTGACAGATTCAAAGTTGTTGGCCTGGCTGCTGGCTCAAACGTTACACTTGTTGCTGATCAGGTAAACTACGAATTGGTCAGCCGTCGTATCTGTTTATACGAGCTTACACTGCCAATCAACAGGTCAGGAGATTCAAACCAAGCATGGTTGGGATTCGAGACCGAATTAAAAGAAGCCATTGCTGATCTTGACGAAAATCCAGAGATTGTCGTTGGGGACGAAGGAATTGTACAGGTACTTCAATTTGCTCAGTTGTTTTTTCTCATATTTTTTTTCTCTTGTGTTTGCTTTTTTTTGCTCTTCAGATAGCGTGTCATCCAGAGGCAGTAGAAGTTGTGGCATATTGGCGGAGGCAGCCGCGCGCATACCGGACAACAAAGATCGGTTGAATGCGGTGCTGGAGGTGGCGCAGCGAGTTTTCAAGCAAGCGTACGTTGTGGAGGGGCCTCGAGGGGAAATAGTTACATGCCTGTTGCAAGCACGTCGTTGAAGACTAAGTTTACTCAGCCGGCAGTCCATATGTTCTACCTCTTGCAAAGAAACACGGAATCAACATCCTACCTGCGGGAGATTTTCCTTGTTGGCTAGAGCAATATCCTTTCCAGCTGCTATTGCTGCTACTGTAGGCTGCAAAGAATATTATTGTACATGTCTAAGTGCTTGAAGAACAAACTTTCGTGTACGCTTACCTTGAGGCTAGCACAACCAACCATTCCTAGGCTTGAACGTGTCCGCGGTGAAGACGCAATCATGGTTGGTCGGATCCTTTCTTCAGCTGCAAGGACATTAGCTTCTTTGCCTGCTCGAAGTCCCACCACAAGCTCCCCACCACCGAGATCGGCTCAAAGAACCTGGTCGAAGAGGAGCTGCGCTCTTGCATTTGCGGAGGGATGACGAGGCCGAGCTTTCCGGCAGTATCTGCTACCAGTCCGAACACCTTTAAGTTGCGCGGAATGCACGAAAAAAACCTCCTGCAGGTCAGGAATGAACCGGCTACCTGTCCAAACCATGAAGACACCTTGTCCATGCAGACAATGATCTTCTTATCCGGTACGAAAATCTTGTTGGCCGTCTTCCGGATCGCTTCACACCATCCCAGTCCTGTCCTGGACCCGGCTTGGACACACGCACCTCCTCCAGCACCTCCCCACGGAGTTTAAGGTAGCTGGAGGAAAGAGCACCAGCAGCACAAAGTCAGCAAGCAAAAAGAGAAGATAGGAGAAGATAGTCGCGTACCTTTTAGCCACGGGTTCGCCAAAGTGTGGCTCCGACTGCTCCTTCATCCACTCCTCCGGAGATTTCTCTTTGATCTGAGTTAAAATGGCGAGAACCCATGCTGCCACGGCGTGTGGATCGTTGCTCATTTTGCTATTAATCAGCTGCTGCGCCACAGCACTTCGATCCGGGATGCCTGTAGACCCGATCTTGAGAAAGGAGACGTACACTACGTAGAAGCCCTTGGTGGCCAGCTCTCGCATGGTTCTTGACTTTCCCCACCCAGAGCTCTGCAGCACCATCGTCCATGCTGCAAGCTGCCCCATATCGTTGTGCCACTCGTCAAACAAGCCATTGATAACCTCTGCAACGTAGTCCAACACTTTGCAAGGATCCTGGTAAGGGCGATCCCAGGCCACCTGTAGCGCCTCCTTGACACTCAGTGGGTAGTCAACTTTTGGACGTACTGTGGTTGGAGATGCATACTCAAGCACGGCCAAGACGAGTCCCCGGCGTTTTGAATCGCTGTGAGCAGCCCTTCCATCCATTCCTGATTTCAACAGTAGAGGATCGTCCCAAGGGACGACGGTGGTGAGCCATGTGAAGAGGTTATCCGAGATATTGGCAGTGATGGATCAAACGGGGGCATACCCCGGGCCAGTTTCTCAAGAGCGTCGCGCTGGCTTGCAGGAAGTGCTGGGTGAGAGAGGCATGAGACACAAGATAGGCAGCTAAGTTGCGTACATACCACAAACATACACGTCGCGTGAGGGCGCAAGAGTGCGTCGCCATGCTCCTTGTTCAGCTCCTCCGCCGAGACAGTGTTAGGAACCGCAAGATTCGCACCGTCAAACTCCCATCGCACTCCGCCATCCCTAGTTCTACCAGGGTTTCCTACAAAACCTGATGTTGGAGACTGACTAAATCAAATTCCATTCTATAAGGATATACATACAACCCAAACTACGTCGTCATAAACGTCCATAGTTTCTTTCTCAAGGGCTGAGAATCACCACTGTCGCCATCGCCTTCACTCATGCCTTCTTCGTCATCATCCACTTCTTCATCCATCTCCATTTCCTCCTCCTCCTCCTCCTCCTCTTCTTCTGCCTCCTCATTGTCCTCGTCGTCTCCTCCTTGTGCTACTTCCTCCAGGCCCCCGTTCTCCACCTCTTCTGTCACCACCTCCACAGCCACGAACTCCTCGATGAGGCTAACAGTTTGTGCGCCCTCGCCCTCCCCTCCTTCCAAACCTCGCAAGTCTTGGTTGCCTACTGTAGTTGCATTGACTTCCTGGTCCGCGTCTCCTGTGGTCGGTCCATCCTCGCTCACACCGTTACAAGCGCCACCGTCGTGGCTCTGCAAAACAAAACCAACCAAACCAAAAAGTCACCTCATCACGCACGCACAGAAGAGGATGGGTATCTTACAGTAGCCGGGTCTTCACTCTTTTGCGATTTCTTGGTCGCCGAAGCTCCATGCGTTCCTCCTTGTGTCGCCAGCATACTTGCACTGAAATCGGTAAAGCGCATTAGGACGTGATACAAGTGTTTCTAGACTTACATTGTGGAGTCCCTGAAGTTGTACCGAGGGGTAGAGTCGCCATTCATCGCAGACTGTGACGCCTCCCGCTGTTTCCTCTTTTTCCTTCCACTGGCTGTCGCCTCCGGGTTCACTGCAGCACCCTCGCTCTCTTCCAGTCGCCTCTTCTTCCCAACTGTCAGTTCTGCTTGGTCCACGTCTGCTACTGGCACCTTGTCCTCCTCGCCACCCTGAGAAATGCTTTTCGGAAATATTCTGGACGCACAAGTTCGCAGCCATGACAATCGGCTCGGAGTGATGGTTCGACTTGGAGTAGAGCTTGGAAGGGGCTGCAACTCGTTCTCGGACGAAATCCTCCTGGCGGACATAACTTCCCCATCGTTGGCGTTCTTCTGTGAAGGTTGTTGCTCTGACATCCTTAAGCTGTCCTCGAGTTCCTTCAGGTCCTCCTTTAGCTTCCTCTGCCTCTCTGCTTCTTGCAGTACTTCTTGCCTTTCCGCCCGCAAAGCTTCTCGTTGCTCCTTCAGCTTCTCCCTCTGGACTTGTAACTCGTGTATATCCTTCTTTATTTCTTCCCATTCAGCTTCAGCAAGCTCGCGCTGTCCAATTATCGCCAACCGCTCCTTCTCAAGACTCCGCTTCTCGGACTCCACGCCATCCAAATCCTTTCTAGCTTTTTCACTTATCTGTGCCACCTCTTGGCGCTCCTTCTGAACTTGTGACAGTAAGCGAGCTTCCCGCTCCTCTGCTTGCTTCTCCATCTCCTCCACTTTCTTGGCCATGTTCCGTTCAAGCTCAGCATGCCGCAGATCAACATCACGGATCAGCTCTTCCCTCTCCCTTTCGAGCCTAGACAAAATCTCAGCTTTCTCCAGCTCTGCAGTTCGCGCCAGAGCTTCCCTTTCAAGTGCCAAGGTCTCCATTTCCCTGTCCACCTGCTCGCGGAGCTCTCGCCTTTCCTGCTTTAGCCGTTCCTCCTCGTCATGCAGCCACTTCATTGACTGGTTTTTACTCGCCTCGAAGTGATCGATTTCGTTCGTAAGCCTGTCCTTCCTTTCATCGAGTAACTCCCACTGAGCCTCGAACTTCTCCTTGTCTTTCTTAAGCTCGTCGGATTCTGTCGTTAAGTCTTGTTTACGTACCCGAAAATCGTCTATCTCCTCTTTCAACCGCAGCTGAACCTTGAGAAGATCTTCCCTCTCCTTCTCGATCACATTAAGCTTCTCCTTCTCCTCCTGAATCTGCATCTTGACCCCCTCGAGTTCATCTTTCTCGGAAGCTAACGCCAGACGAAGCGCGGAAATCTCCTTCTCAAAGTCGGCCTTCTTTGTCCTTAAAGCCTGCTCGTTCTCATCCAGGGTCCTCGAGATATCCTCCTACCATGCAGAAACAAATAAGCGCGTGAGGCACATAGAATACAATGTTTACCAGGCTTTGCTTTGACACAGCCAAAAGATTCTCCCGAGTACTCAAACTGGCTTCTAGATCAACAAGACGTTCCTTTTCCTTCGCGTTTGCTTGTTCAAGCTCTCGTACCATCTGCTCGTGTTGTTCAAATGCCTGGAAGAATGATAACAGGAATAGATACTTTAGCAGGCAGAACACAGTTCTTTTACTCACCCTGTCCCTGCTGGCAAGCTTCTCTTGTAGCAGCAAGATTTCCTGTTCCTTCTTTGTTGCAGCATTCTCCCTTTCCACAGCAGCCTGTGTAAAAGTATAAGACAAACATAAAAACAGAAACGTGTCGTATCGCATTCACTAACCTCCTCTCTCAGTGAAAGCGCAGACAGCAAAGCACTATACTCTGCCTGTTCTTGCCGTAGTGCAGAACGGTCCTTTTCTAGAACCTTTCTTGCTTCATCCAGGTCCCTCTCAAGTTTCGTAAGTGCATCATCCCTCTGTTGCATGTACTCCTCTCTCTTGTTCAGAAGCTTCTCGTTCTCCACAAATCTAGCCTGACTCTCTTCGAGGGTGCGTTCCCAGCCCTTGAGGTTCTGCTTTTCATGTTCAAGCTCCAGCTTATGCGCCTCGCACCTTTAACAAAGACTCTCAAATGTCAGAAGCGGGTTCCAGAAGATGAAAGGGCTTACTCTGCCAGAAAACTGTGGCGCTGCCTTCTCAAGGCGTCTTCACGAGACTCGACTTCCTGCAGCTTTCTTTCCGCGTCAGCGTGCTTCCTGTTTGCTTTCGCAAGCAACGCCTCCGCGGAATGTAGCTTAGACTCCGCCTCGAGCAGCTTTTCTTCAGCGCTCATTGCCGTTGCCTTGCCTTGTTGAAACTGCGTAGCAGCGGCTGCCTTGGCTTCAGCGACTTCCTCGTGCATTTCTTTGAGGGCCTTCTCGAGCTGGACACAAACGGCAAAGGTTGTGACAAGTGAAGAGAGAGCAAGGGCGCTGTAGCTTACGTCGGCCACGCATTTCTTCTCGGTGGTGACAGCACGCTTCAGAGATTCCTCGCGCCTCTCCGCCTCTTGCAGCGCAATCATGTGAGCGGATTGTTCCCGCTTGAGCCCATCTCTCGTCTCGTCAATCACGCTCTTGAGACGCTCCGACTCGCCGCGCAGCTTGTTGGATTCCAGGAGCAGCAGCCCCATCTGGTACTGGTAGTCGTACAGCTGGAGATCCAGGCCGAGCGTCGCGTGAGACCAAGACTACCCGGAAAGAAACAAGACCCACCTCAGTTTCGAGCTTGGAGATATGAGCGAGGAGAGCATTGCGATCCTTGAGCTCCAGCGATTCTTGGTCCAGCGCACCCGCTTCCCGGAATGTCTGCCAGATCTCGCTGCTGGACTTGCCCGCGCCATCTCCTGCGTCATTCCCAGCTAGGGTTCCGTCCGCGGACTGGTGCTGCTGCCGCCCATCTGGTGGTGAGGAGGAAGCAAACCTGACCTCTCGCCTTTCCGTGGACACAGAGAAGCCAGCTCCCCGGTTGGGCGTCGCGCCGCGCCTGTGCGGGGTAAACATCGCGCTCTCTTTCTCTTCTCGCAACCAAAAGCCCTAAACCCGTCTATCGGGACATTTCGCTAGAAAGCGGAATATTCCCCCGACGCTTAAACCCTGGCTAACCCTCATAGGTCTCGCGATTGGCAATGTGTGGAGGGAGGGGCTCTCTCTCCTCGTCTTCGTCTTCCTGGCTAGGAGAAGAATAGGGCTTCGATGAAAGGCGTCCGAGGCAAGGGCATCTCCTCATTCTTCCGTGTCTCTTCCTCCCCGCTCTGCCACTCTCCCACTCTCGCCCCCCATCTCTGGAGGCATTGCGTGCCATTCGGCGCCAGATTCCCGGCGCTGTCCCTGCCATCGGTGCCGCGGCGTGAGCTATGGCAAGTGATTGCGAGTGACGAGGTATATAAGCTGTGCATGCCTTGGCATTTAGGTTAACCTAGTCCTGTGTTTGTATGAAGAGGAAGATGCCTTCACAGCGCGGGCGAAAAGCCAAGACCGCCGACAGCGACGGTGCTACTGTCTGGGTGCCAAAGGCAACAATCTCCACATCTGCGCAGCAACAGCGTCCCTCCTCGCAGGCCGCCGTGGCCGAGCCCATGACCGAGACGGCCTATCCCGCCAAAAAGGGCCAGACCAAAGTCAAGTCGGAAGTTCGGGCCACCTTCTATCCCAAGTTTGAGAATGAAAAGTCCGATCAAGAGGTACTGCCTTGTCTTTCTACTCGTTTGGTTTATAGAATTGTCTTGGTAGATCCGAAGTAGGATGATCGAGGTGGTGGCTTCCGGCAGAGGTGTTGTGGAGGTGAGTTCCCGAGCAATGAAAAGAAGCTTGCTTATCCAGGGTTGTGTAGGTCACCTTGAAACATTCTGGATCCCTGTTTATGTACGCTGGTGATGGACAGGCTTTCGCGAAAAACAGCTATGGAAATCTGTAAGGCGGTTTACTCTTGGCGTGGTTTTCACGTAGTTTGTTTTTTGTTTGTGCCAGATATACGGCTGTTGGTGTGTATGTTCTGGGAAAAACACTCGAACAAGCATGGGGCGATCAAGCCAAAGCCAAGCAGAGAGAATTCAATGCATACCTTAAGGTTTGCTCAGGGTTTTTGCCAATGGTATCATGTCAAACTGATTTTTATTTCCCAGGAACACCGTATTTCAATCTCCATGGAACTTGTGACGGCTGTGCTTGGTGATCACGGTCAAAGGCCTCTCAAAGATTACGGTCTGATGTCTGTTATTCTTGTAACAACGGCACTGACTTCTACCTTGTTACATGAACAGTGGTGGTGACAGCAGTAACAGAGCTTACAGGCCGTCCCAGATTTTTTTCTACCCCCGATCTTGTGGAATTCTGCAGGAAGTGGCGTCTTCCTACGAATGAGGTGTGGTTATTCTCCACAAGGTATGTTTACGATCTACTTGATCTGTCATTGCGAATGAATTTCTCGTCAGGAAGTCCGCTTCAACGTGTTTCGCGGCTTACGACGTCTTATGTGAGCAGAGCATTTATACGCTTGTCCGCGACAACTTCAACAAAATTGCAGATGCGACTGTCCCAGGTATTTGTTGCTCCTCTACTTGCGTTTCTCTTGAATGTTTCCTTCTTGTGGTGTAGGCACCGAAAGTCATGCCGTAGTGCAAGGGGAAATACTGGAGGGACTGGTTGCTCGTATCGTTTCTTTTGAAAGTGGCAAGAAGCTAAAGCTTGTCGCTGAGAAATATCCTGTTCCAGATCATGCACCTGGTAAATGTATTTCTTCAGTTTTGATCGGTATGTTTACGATCGAGCTCTTGCAGGTGCTTACACTGCGCCTGGTCTCCGTGAAATATGCATGGCAAACAGGCAGTCTGAGAAAGAGGTACAGGGTAGCTCTTGACGTGCGGACTAATGATCATGTCGTCCAATTTTTCAGCAAAGCAAGGCTCTTTTGAAGGCTGTTGGCACCGACTTTTGCTCGGACTGGAATGCATGGTTTGACAAGGAAAAAGATGCTGCTCAGACAGCGTGGCTAAACAAATTTCTACAAACACCTCCTGCGGATGATCCCACAGCTAAACTTCAGGTACCACTATGTTCTTTTGTTCTGCCTCTAAACTTCTATGGGCAGGAAATGGTGAACTTGCTACGCCAAAAAAATATGCGGGTGAAGTTTAAATGTCAGTCTCGCCAAGGCTCGGAGAACGAGTTCACAATGACTATTCATGTACTACAAGACTCTGTATTTAGAAGATATCAGAAGGAGATGCAGTATGTGATTTTCTTTCTGCCGCATTCTCTAATAATTTCTGTGCAGGTACAATCCAAGCCTGTGGCCTTTATACAGAGGTCCGGTTTTTTTAACAAGGAAACTTCATAACATCTGACTTTTATATGTTTCTACAGGTTTCTTTGTGGATGTTATGTTAACCAGAGACTCGCAAAACAATTCTTCTTCTTCTAATGAGACGGAAGAAGTGACTTTGGGACACCTGGACCAAGATGCAATGGCGGATGATGCTGAGCACTTGATGGTGAAATTGAAGTTCTTGACATACAAGGTAACACTTTTTTGCTTGTCTTCTTATGTGGTAACCTCAACTGGATGGTCTTTTCTCTCTTTCAGATTCGTACGTTCCTTATTCGTAATGGTATTGATATTCTGTTTAATAAGGGGAAGCAGGGTTATAAAGACTATTATTTCAGGTACTTTGGATTCGAAGTTTTGGGCTCAGCTTATGTTTATTTGCCAGGCAAATGCAAATCTGGGGCACTTCTGCGGAAAAGCAGCGAGAACTTTCCAGGATGTTGGATGAATGGTATTTTGTTAGAATCGCTGATTGCAGCTGCTCATCCTCTTGCTTTCCAGGGCTTCACACATCACACAAAAGATTAAGATTGGCAAGCTCAAAGAAGGGTCCTATCTTTCAGAAGCCGAACCGTTTCTGAAAGCTTTTGCTAGTCGCAGTACAAAGAACCAGCTACTGGTTGGTCAAGCTGGTACTGATATCGACACCGCGGCGCACCTAGCTGCATCTCGTGAAGGTGATGACGAGGAAGGTGATCTTAAACAAGACGTTGGAGCTTCGCCGGATGTGCCGATTTCCCATGAAGGCATCAAGGCTAAGGGGCTGCTCGTGTTTTTTCCTGGTACTTGCTTACTATCGTTTATCGTGGATCGCTTAATCGTCAACTTTTCTCTTTGTAGGAATACCTGGGTGCGCAAAATCTGCACTTTGCAATGAGATTATCAGCACTCCAGGTGGCATCGGTGATAAAAGACCGATGAAAAGCTTAATGGGAGACATGATAAAGGGTATGGCGTTGCTATGAGCGACTGACTCAATATTGAGCGTCATCTCGTTGCAGGACGTTACTGGCCGAAGCTTGAAGAGGAAAGAAAGAAAAATCCAAACGTAATTACTCTGGCTGATAAGAATGCTCCGACTGCGGATGTGTGGAAGCTGGTAAGTATTTTCTTTTAGCCTGTACTACTACTCAAGCACCGTTTCAGGTGACCGATATTTGCAAGTCAACTGATGCCACTGCGGTTCCCATAGTTCCTGACTCTGAAGGTTTGACGGCTTGTATAAGCAGAGGAACTTCTAATCATCCTGGTTATTTCAGGCACGGATTCAAATCCATTTTCTTTAGATGCCCTTGCTGTTTTTATTTTCCGAGTACTTCACCGAGAGAAGCATCCGGTATGCTTTCGTATGTTGAGGCGCTGCTTTTTCTTTACTGCCTGTTTGTCGCAGGGCAACCTTGACAAAAACTCCCTATATCCTGGATATGTGCTTATGATGTTCTACAACCTGTACGATGGGATGGTCTGTATCCTTTTCTTTTCTTCATTTTGTTTTCTTTCCTTACTAGCACGATAATTTTGTGTATAGGATCGAAGTGAATTTGACGCGGAGCTACACAAGCGGTTTGGCTATCTGATCAAATTTCCCTTGTTGAAGCCGAATCGGTAAAATCTTGTCCTTTATATTTCTCCCGGAAGCGAGTTACGACGCATGAATTCCAGACCTCCTCTGCCGGGACCTCTGAAAGCTGTGCTCGACGAAGGACTTGAGCTGTTCAGGAAACACGCCGCAAAGCATGGGAAGTAAGTCATCTGATGGTTTGTGGTTGTTATTCTAAGTTTCCCGCTTCGCAGGGCGGATCCATCGAAGGGAAGCTTCAAGGGAGAGTGGGACGCATGGGAGAAAAAACTGAAGGACACCATGCTTGCACATTCGGCACACATAAGTGGCATTCAGGTAAAACCGTTTTTTCGATTGACAGTAGTTTAGTCATGACAGAGGTGCGCTTGCAGGTTCCCTTCGAAGATGTTGTCAAATCTGTTCGAGAGAAGCTTCGTGATGTGGTTACTGGCAACGTTCAAGTTCACATGCCAGATACCCAGGAGCGTAAGTTTCGTGCATTCAATTACGCTGCGGTCTCCTTACCCGTGGATGGCATTTTGAGCGCTCTGGCCAAGGTAAGTGTCCTAAAGTTTTGAGACGAATTTGGATTCACAGGTTGTGCTACAGGTATCGAGCGCAGACGCCGGAGCAAAGGCGTTTCTGGCTCCAAAGAATCTTAGCAACACCCTTCGTGCCGGGCATGTGACACTTGCGCACGTTCGCTCTCACGGTGCGGCAGCGGTGGCGGAGTATGGCGCATACGTTGGGACGGAAGTGCCGGTTAAGTTCACAGCATTCTTGTACTGCCCAAGGATGTGTGCTTTCGAGGCTCAGCTAGACAGCAAAAGCGTGGCTTCCAAAAACCCAATGCCGCACGTCACGGTGAGTTTTTTTTTTCTTTTCTTTGATTCTCTTTATTTCACTGGACTGACCTTCGTTCCGCACAGTTATGGACCGCTCCTGGCACGCCACCCAAGGAGGCAGGATCGCTGGGCAAGCTAGCTGCGGAGGGCCAAGCTACTCGAGTGGTGCTTCGGCAGCCAATCGTGGTGACGGGCAAGGTGGAGTTCAAGATGTGAGACAGTAGACTCAGAGAGAGAGAGAGAGAGAGAGAGACATAGGTGGTTTTTGTGAATACCCCTCACCCCCTGTGTAGAGTTGAGTGAGCGACTGTGGATCGCGCGAGATGAGAATTGGAGAGAGGTAGCTAGTAAGGCCTCTGGCCAATGTAGTTCCCTGGGGGATCGTAGTTGCAGATCATGAACACATCCCCGTCGGCACAGGTGACTCTTGCGCATCCCACCCGCGTTGAGCTTCTCCACACGATCTGTGTGTAGTGGCCACAGTCGTCGTTGAAGAGGCACGAGTTGGAGTAGTAGTCATACCAGCGGCGCTCGTCCACCCAGGCGTCGACGGCCTCGGACGGGCTCCACGGCTTGCCCCGCCCCCAAAAGATGTTCTCGCCGTAGGGACCCCCCGAGTGCTGGAGATAGCAGTTGCCCGACGCCTGCTTCTGGTTTGCCCACCACTGCGCGTACGCTGCCAGCCGGTTGTCCCACACCAGCGGCGGAACACCCACGCTGTAGCGAGCTCGGTTCTGGCCGTAGAGGAACTGCGCCACGAATGCGTTGTATCGGGGCGGCCAGTAGCTCGCGCCTGCCAGGAGCGAGCAATGCAGCACGTAGCACACGGCCACCACGCAGTGGTATCTTCGATCAACCATGAATCTCATAGCATGAATGTATGTACGTAGTGTAAGTGTCTGTCTCTATCTATGTATCTATGTATCTATCTGTCTAGAGCCCGAGACGACCCTGCTTCAAATGCCTACCTCTTCTTCTTCTTCTTCTTCTTCTTCTTCTTCGCTTCTGGGGGCTTTATAAACTATCTATCCGTCGTGCGAGCAGCCAGGAAGCTTTATGAGCGCCACTGTCCAATGCGAGTGCGTGGTTGAGTGGGAGGAGCTCTGTTGCTACAAGAGAAGCGGCGCTCTCTTTCTCTTTTTGCCATTGCGCGGTGCCAGCCTTTACCAAGTCGTTGGAATCTTTGTTTGGCCCCGTAAAGTAGTATATATGCGATGCGCTCTGGCTGGCCGAGGGATGGTGAAAAGGATGGATTGGCAGCGAGCATTCCTTTGCTTCGCTCCGCTTGCAATGGCTGGCTTGATTGCACATGGGCGCAAGCGCGCGAGAACATGGATGTACACTCAATTCACACTTTAGCTGCCACCGCCTGACACAACACCCACCAGTTGAGCAGTCACCATTTCAAAAGCTTACAAGGCTTATAGGTGAGAAGACAAGCAAGAGGAGAGGAGAAAAGAGTGGCGCGCGACGGGGCGAGTGAGGCCTATAGCTAGGAAATCGGCTATTAGTCACTGTTTCAGAGTTAGGGGTCACGGGAGGCTCTTGGCTGTCTGCTCTCTCCTCTGCCTGTACGCGAGCAGGACAGGATTGGTCAAAAAGCCGCGCGCGAATTCATTATTTGATCCAAGCCGAGCTGCTGCGCCAATGTGGATGGCTGGTCTCCATCCATGCCTTCTTCCAGGAAGACTTGTGCTAAACTAAACACTATTTTATTATCCAAAGCGTGGAAAATGCTATCTCGAGTTCTTGAACATCGAGCCTTTCCTGGCTGATTCGATCCCATTACCAACATTTTTGGCCAGCGTAAGCTTCTTGACAACGATAAATCGACGTTATTCCCATTATCCATTATCATTATAGATTTACTCACCTCCACCATGAGAACACCGTCCATCCGAAAAGTGGCCAGGAAAGATGATCACGTTCTACTGCTGTGATGCCCGGTTGATACTCGATCACTGTAACTACTATCCACCAGCAAGAATGGATGTTTAGCCGAAGACTAGGCGAGGTAAAAAGTGGTCACCTATGAGGAAGAATGTCGCAATCTTGTTGCTGTGTAGTAGAGAAGGGAATTCCGCAAATCCTAATCCGAAAGAACCAGTAACATTGATTAATGCATGGATGAATGGAATACGTTTCTTTTCTCGATGGTGGATGAATCCGACGCATCTGCAAGGCTCCCCCTGCGACCCTCATGGCGGAAGGCAGGCGCGGATCAAGCTCAAGTCGGCGCGATCGAAAAGCACCCTCGATAGATTTAGCCGGTCCTAAGGGAGACTGGGGCTTCGTCGTTGATCGGAGTTGAGCTCGTTTGCAAGCAGCGTGGTCCATGCCACACCACCGGGAAGAAACGGCATTGTAAGCAGCAGCTCCCGAGCATCCTTGCTCCGTCCCGCCCGCCCCAACACGTCCAGCATGCAGTGGTAGTGCTCGCTCGAGTGGCTTATCCCATAGTCACTCGCCAGGCCCATGAAGTAGCGCATCCCCTTGTCCAGCAGGCCCCCGTGGCTGCACGAGAAGAGGACGCTCAGCATTGTCACTTGATCGGGAATGATGCCCTCCACCCCCATTGCACTGAAAACCTCCACCGCCGCAGCGCCTTGTCCGTTGTGGGCATTTGCGGCAATGAGAGCACTCCAAGACACCACGTCTCGTTCCGGCATCCTATCAAACGTCACCCTTGCTTCCCTCAGATGGCTGCTCTTCCCATACATGCTGATCACGGCATTGGACACCAACGTGTCGCCCGTAACGAGCTCCGATCCGTAGGCGTCTCCAAAGCTGGAGAGGACGATTCTCCCCTGGGACACCAGCCTCACGCTGGCGCAGGCCTCGAGGGCGCTCACCAGCGTCACTCTGTCACCTTGAAAACCCTCCATATCCATCGCCCGCACCAGCTGCAATGCCTCCTCGCCTTGCTCGCTCTGGGCATACGCCTGGATCACAAAGTTCCACGATATCACGTCCCGCACCGGCATCTCCTGCAGAAGCAACTCTCGTGCCGTGTCCAGATCCCCGTTGTGCGCATGCCCGGCAAGCAGCGCGTTCCAGGTGACCACGTCCTTCTCCGGCATCTCGTCAAACAGCGCCTTGGCCGCAACAACGTCGCCAGCCTGCGAGTAGGCCTGGACAAGCACATTCCACGCCACCCGGTTGCGCAGCGGCATGCTGTCAAACGCACGGCGTGCCACCCTTAAGTCACCAGCGTCGGCGTACATGCCGACCATGCTGCTCCTCGTCACCACGTCCTGTTCCGGCATCTTGTCGAGGAGTGCCTCTGCCTCGCGAATATTGCCCTCCCGAGCGTAGGCAGTGATCATAGTGTTCCACGTCCTTAAGTTCCGCCGAGGGGCTCTGTCAAAGAGATCTTTCGCCCTTGTCATGTCGCCGTGCTGGGAATGAGCTGCGATCATCGCGTTCCACGACACCATGTCTTGCTGCGGCATGCTCTCGAAAACTCTCACAGCCATTTCCACCTCTCCAACTCGAACGTATGCCTGTATCAGCGCATTCCAAGCCGCAACGCATGTCTCCGGCATAGCATCAAATGCCTTGCGGGCCTTGTCAACATGTCCGTACCTGGCATACGCTGCAATCAAGCTGGTCCACGACACCAAGTTTTTCTCCGGCATCGCATCAAACAGCTCCCTCACCTGAGTCATATCTCCCGATTCTGGATCATCTTCCTGAGATGAATATGCAGCAAGCATTGCGTTCCAGGAAACCACATTTCGCTCTGGCATGCCGTCAAACACTACTGTTGCCTTGTCCACTTGCCCTTCCCGGGCATACGCTGCAGCCATAGTCGTCCACGACACAACATCCCTCTGTGGCATAGAATCGAAGGTTAGCTTGACTCCTGCAATATCGCTGTTTTGAGAGTACGCTTGCAGCATGGCGTTCCACGCAACCAGGTTTCGCTCTGGCATCAGATTGAAGAGGGTGACTGCCTCATATAGCTGGCCGCAGGCAGCATACACAGAGATGAGAGCCACCCATGCAATGAAATCTCTCTCTGGCATCTTGTCGAATTTTTCTTTTGCGCTCTTGCAGCTTCCTTCCCGAGAGTAGGCTACCACCATGACCACCCAAGAAACAAGATCGCGACGAGGCATTCTCTGGAATAAAAGCTCGGCCTCCAGCATATGCCCGTGTTGGGCATATGCAGAGACAATAATGTTCCAGGAGAAGACGTTGGGGCATGCCAAGCTCTCAAAGACCTTTCTCGCGTTTTCTAGGCTTCCACACTTGCTGTACATCTCCACGATCATGTTGCACACGTAGATGTTCCCACAGTGCTGGCTTTGTGCGAATAGCGAGTGCAGGCGTTGGCCGGCAGCGAGGTTCTTTGTCCTGGTGCACAGCTTGAAGGCCTCGGCGTAGGAATTGGGATCGTCTGGGATGGGACACACTTGGAGCTTGGCCATCTTCCATCACTTCATACGCAGGACACGTCTGGAAAGAAGTGAAAAGCTCCATGAATGACACAAGCAGCAGCAGTAGCAGCGAATTGTCAACACTACGCACCACGAGGAATGATGACGTGAGAAATCGTTAGTCCTTTGGGTCCTTTAGGATGCACGCGTGCCTTGTGCTCCCTTGCTGCATAGTGGCTGAGCGATCCGATCATCCATTTATCCCAGCCTTGGAAAGCACCTAGGCTAGAGCGCCTTGAAACTTGCCCCAAGATCAAAGTTAGAACCAGAATTAAAAAAAATGTAACAATGTTTATATGCTTATTTTTAGACCATGGACATGAAAAAATTTAAAATAAATATGGAAGTAGAGATATGTATGAAGATTTCAAGGTGTGAGTATGAGAAATAATTTAAATTTAGAACTGAATTTATGGTGAATAGAAACGAAGACAAGCTATCGTACGAGAATAAACACTCTAATAGCAACACTATATTGTAGGATTTTTGTAAAAATTTAACGTATATTTATTATTACATGTGGATTAGGTATACTAAAAATCTGAGAACGCAGCTACATTACTCGTGATTTGTTTGTATACACACTCACTTACACTTTGTTCCTTGAGCTTGAATTTGATTTGCGTCTGTATGTACATAGCATCATTCCCTTATAAAAAATTTACAAAGAATTCCTAATTCTCAGCTGCCAAACGTCTTCACTAGCTCATTTTCTAGTAGCGCCAATCCTCCTACTATCTGAGCTAAGAGCTTCAGCTCCTTATGCACACTAAAAGGTATCTACCTGGCTTCTTCGAAACACACCTCAACAATGGAGCTCTTGAGTTTATTGCCACGGCCACAATGGACTTACTTATAAACCCTCCTCTAAATCAAATCCTGTAAAACCGCCAATCTGCTTACAAATACCCCAGGCATATGTAGTATATCCACCTGTTTTGTAGCACGTCATTTACTCGACTGACTTTTGAAACAAGCAAATCAAATCACTTTCTTCCTTGATTTTGTTCAAACAAGAGCTCCCATCCCCGTATACTCCTGTAGCTGGAATGGACCTGTTCTGGAAATGGATCCCCGGTTAGCCGGACAATGTGAAGGTGTGAGAGGGCGATTAGAGAGTACGCCCTTGAGCCCAGGCAAATGTCAATCCCTGGCCAGTGTACGCGGGCGCATACGTATCGGTGATGCTGTGTGTGGCGTATGTACCGGCGAAAAGTCAATGAGCCATCCCCAAGCTCCCAGTTGTGACAGACAGATAATCTCAAAGTCAACTGCCCAACTTCCGGAACAAAGAAGAAGGAGAGACGAAGAATTGCAGGCCCAGCGCAAAACGCAAAGAAAGCTCCCTACCCCGTCCTTCCTGACCGTCGGTGATCGGGGCGACCGCCGCCAGTCAACGTTCGACTAGCCCATCCGACGGTGGAGAGCCTGCCCCTTCCAACGGCTGGATGCACCCTTTATAAAGGGCGCATTTTGGATGGATGTTTTGCTGCTTCTTCGTTCGCTAACTACACGGGGCGTTCCTCCTTCTCTTCTCGCTTTCTCCTCTCTCTCTCTCTCTCTCTCTATACTGCTTTGTAAGATCAATCTCTTGAAACCGTAGTTTGAATCTTACTAGTCATGGGTATTCGCTGCAGCCTCTTGTTTCTTTCCTTGCTGCTAGTTGTCGACGTTCTCGCCCGGCCTCTTCCACCAGGTGAATGCAGTAATACTGCGGCAGAAACGAGTCCTGACTCACGGATTCGTCTTGCGTTGTGTTGTGCAGTACTAGAAAACAAGAAGGATGCAGTGGAAGCAGCAGAGATCCTAGCTGAGAAGGAGGACTTGGATGCTGCGAGTGTGGTAATATACATACACAATCTGATTCGAGGCCTGCTTTGAATTTGATCTCATGTCAAACACATGTTGGTTTTCATGACAAAACGCAGCAGCTGAAGGCGCAAGTCAAGTGCGAGGAATCCAAAACAGCTTCCGATCGTGTTGCTCGAGAGCTGGCTGACAAAGCTCCGGTGCCTGCTGATCATATAGATTACATCTACGATGTGGATCCTTGATCCAGGCCTCTCTTTTTTTTCTCTACCCGAATTCGAGCTCAAGAGTGCCCAAGATATGTACTATAGAGTGTGAGGGCCACGCGCAATTATCATCCTCTTCAAAGTGTTATATGTGTTCTCCAGTTTACATCTCCGCATTGTACAGAGCGGGGCGAGCATTATAGGGACAGGGCAGTGCAGCAAACATATTAAAAAAGTCTCCTGTTCTTGGGAGTTTCGACTTTGATATACCGCATCTAAGATACAACTCTCGGGAGAACCATTGCTAAACTATAAGCTCTATAGACTTTTCAACTCCATGTATGTATGCGTGTGCCAGTGTGAGAGTGTGTGTGAGTCACGAGTGGCGTGGGAAATATGGACATGATCACCGGGATTTTATGGAATGTGACGTTGGAACATATGATACACTTAGAGGCTTGATTGATTATCATCTTTATCTTCGATCACCGGAGGAGCAGTAGTGGGATGAGGCGTGGCCGCATAAGATTCTAGTGCTTGCAGCAAAAACTCTTGACCCGACTCCACTCCGCTTTGCTCCATCTTGGACATAAGCACTGTCATCTTGTCCAGCTGCCGCTCCTCCCCATAGGCCTTGAACAGTATGAGGTACGAGGACACGGCGGGCTTGATGTCGAGCTTGGACGCGTTGATGAACAGCGCCTCGGCCTCGTCCACCAGGCCGTGTTCAGCGTAGGCCCGCAGCAGCACGTCCAAGGTGGACACCTGCGGCTTGACGGGCGACCGCACCATCTTGTCGAAGCACTTTCGCATCGTGTCCAGCTCCCCAGCCCGGCCATAGGAGCTCATGAGCGTGTTGAAGGTGGTCAGGTCGGGGCCGAGGCCCGCCATGTCCATCCTCACCAGCACTTGCTCCATCTTTCCCAGCTCCCGCGACTGCCCGTAGCTCGCCAGCATCGAGTTGAAAGTGGTGGCCGAGGGCTTGCACCCGGACAAGTTGACGAGCGACTTGTAAGTCCGCTCCATCTTGACAAAGTCTCCCGCCCGGCCGTAAGCATCGATGAGGACGTTGAAGGTGACAAGGTCCGGTCTCACGCCATGCTCGCTCATCTCCTTGAGCTTGTACTCCATGTCGCGGTACAGCCCCTTCTTGGCGTAGGCGTCCATGATTCCGTTGAAAGTGTAGGCGTCGGGCTTGAGATCGTCTCGGCGCAGGAGCTCCAGGAAGAGCGCCTCGGCCTTGTCCGTGAGCCCGGCCTGCGCACACGCCCGGGTGAGCATGTTGTACGTGGCGAGGCTCGGGCACGAGTGGACGCTCGTCTTCATGTGGCCGAAGTGATCCAGCGCGCTGTCCAGCGCTCGCGCAACGTTCTTGCACCTCAGGTGAGCCATGATGATGGCATTGAACACCGGCGTGGTCCTGGACGAGAGCTGGAGCTGCGAGAAGATCCACGACGCCAGCCGCAGCTGCCCCTGCTTGCCCATGGTGTCGATGATCTTGGCGTGCGCCACCTCAAGGTCCCGGTTGCTCAGCCGCGCCTCATTCTTTTGCAGCCACTTGAAGAGCTGTGGCGATGACAAACACATCAAAACCTCGCTTGATCGAGCACGATGAACTAACCGCGAGCGCCAGCGCCCAGTCGTTGAGCCTGCCAATCTCGTCCACCAGCGCCATGAATCCATCCACGGGAATATGCCTCGCGTACTTGTCCAGGACGTGGCTCTTGCTGCTCTTCTTGTCTTGGAGCTCGTGGAGAATGCTCATCACGGCCGGTTGCCGCTGCTGCTGCTGCTGCTGTTGCTGCTGGTGGCTGGAGAGAGATCGATCGGCCCTCCTCCCCCTCACAAATCTCATCCTGGCGAGCTGCCCGCTGCCGCTCGTCCTGGCGTGATCGCCTCCACCATAGCCCAGCGCGGCAAAGCAGTGCCAGCGGCATTCCATTTTTCTAGGGTTAGGGTTTTAGGTCACGACGGCTATGGCGCAGTTCGACCAGACGCTCAAGATTGCGCCCTTCCTGGACAGGCATCTGGTGTTCCCGCTGCTCGAGTTCCTCCAGGACAAGGGGATCTATCCCAATGACCAGATTCTCAAGGCCAAGATCGAGCTGCTGGCCAAGACCAACATGGTCGACTACATGATGGACATCCACCGCAGCCTCTACGACGAGGTCCCCAAAGGTAGGCGGCCTCCATTTCGCGCTCCAATGCCCATTTCCCGTTCGCTCTTCTCGCAGAGATGATGGACAGGCGTGCCGAGGTTGTGAATCGCCTCAAGGCCCTCGAGGATCTGGCGGCTCCCTTGATCGCCTTCCTGCAAAACCCGCAAATGACCGCGGAGCTCAAGCCCGAGAGGCAAGCCAATCTCCAGATGCTTCACGACCGGTACCAGGTACTTTGTTTCTTTGGTTTCTTGTGAGTTTAGGCTGAGCACCACCATTCTTCTTCTTCGCAGATTGGTCCCGAGCACATCGATGCGCTCTACCAATACGCAAAGTTCCAGTTTGAGTGTGGCAACTACTCGGGAGCCGCGGATTTTCTCTACCAGTATCGGACCTTGACCATCAACAGCGAAAAGGCTTACAGTGCAATGTGGGGCAAGTTTGCAGCCGAGATACTGATGCAAAACTGGAGCGGTGCAGAATACGAGCTTGGAAAGCTCAAGGAAGCCATGGATTCTAAGGTAGTTTTACGTTTTCTTTCCTACTTACAAAGAAATGTTTTTGTTTCTTGTCCTCTTTGCAGAATTTTTCATCGCCGCTTGTCCAAGTGCAAAATCGAGTGTGGCTCATGCATTGGAGCCTCTTTGTGTACTTCAACCTCGAAAGTGGGAGGCATAGTCTCATCGACTTGTTTATGAATGATAGGTGAGTGTAGGGAAAAGAAAGTTTGTGTTTTGGCTTCTCAGAGTACCTCACTCATTCTGTGTCACCAGATACCTTCATGTGATACAAACGCATGCACACCATCTGCTGAGGTACCTCGCTGCTGCCTTTGTGGTCTGCAAGAGGAAGCATCGCGGGAACATAAAGGACTTCATCAAGGTGATCCAGCAGGAGCATCACACTTACAGGGATCCCATCACCGAGTTCCTCGAGTGCCTCTACGTCAACTACGACTTTGAAGGAGCTCAACGGAAGCTCCAAGAGTGTGAAGATGTGAGTGCCGCTTTGCTTCCCACCGCTCTCTTCATCCGTTTTTGTTTGCTTTGCAGCTCATCCTGAATGACTTCTTCCTTGGGCGTCCGGAAACGGACAACGGCTACATTGTGTACAAGTTCAGGGACGAGTTTTTGGAGAACGCACGCCTGGCAATGTTCGAGACATACTGCAAAATCCATCAAAGGATTGACATTGGGTAAAAGTGTTCCTGGAAGTGATGGCTTGTAACTAATGTTTGTTTTCTTTTTGTGGGATCCTCAGGATGCTGTCTGACAAGCTTCACATGAATTACGACGATGCCGAGCGCTGGATCGCCAACCTCATCAATTTTTCCAGGCTCGATGCCAAGATCGATTCGAAGAATGGAACGGTTGTCATGGGCGTGCAGCACACGGACGTGTAAGTGGAAAATCGTGTTTGCATTCTCCCCCGCTGCTGTAACAAGCTTGATACTGCAGGTACGAGCAAGCCATCGAACGGACAAAGCCTCTGGCAACCCGAACTTACGTACTAGCTCGCAACATCGCTGAGAATTTGCCTGTGAGAGCTTGAAATCCTTGCTCGAAGTTTTGGTTCGTGAGATCTGTCAAACGCAAGCGCTTTTATTTCTTTTGTTTGCAGAACACTCTTACGTAACAATCTATCCTTCCCCGTTTAACGCCATAGCTCAGGAGCTTACGTTGTCTTCCTGCAACTGTGAAGAAGCAAAGCTAGTGGTTGGCACGCGTGTTTGGCAAGCTTACCTGAACGATATGAGGCAGGAACTTCCCATTGAGCGTGATTTGCACCCGGTCTTCACCCTCTTTGCCTCGGATTTTGTTCACCTCGCAGAAGAAACCAACTGCGGACATTCTGCCACCCAAAAGCCACAGCTTGAAAGAAGACTCGAGAGGGTGGCAATGACATACATGCCATCGCCAAATTCCTCGTTGATGATGGCCTTGATGCTCTGGGCGTAGTGCATCACAGCTTCGTTCAGCCTGAGAACCACAGGATTCACAAAAAAGAAGCAATCCAAGTCCGAGATACTACTGACCGATAAACAGTGGGATCCTGGATGAGGGTCGGTTCGTAGGAGCGAAGTGGGGGGGCTCGCATCTTCTCGAGGAGCTCATCCGAGAGCCCTGGCACGGCATTCCGGAGGGGACTCACTTGTTCCGGGTGAAGCTGAGCCTGGCGGTGGAAGAGCTGCCCCACATACGCATTCGTGAGCCCAGTCTCGGCTGCGATCATCGTGAGCGTCTTGCCCGACCGGGACTTTGCTTCCAGCAGCTGCTCCACCAGCGCCCTCTTGATCTTCTTCTCGCTAGACATCCTTCCTCTTACAACTTCTAGGTAGGCTAAGTTATGGCATCCACACACACAGTGAACGCGAGGTAAATAAAAGATGGATGATCTGATTCCGGAGGAGGAGGTTCCGCCATGGACACAACAGATCACTGTGCGCGGTCTTGCCGTGAGCGTGCTACTCGGGGTTGTGTTCTCCATCATCACCCACAAGCTCAGCCTCTCTATCGGCGTCATTCCCTCGCTCAATGTGGCTGCGGGGCTCTTGGGTTTCCTCCTGGTGAAGTCGTGGATGGCTCTCGTGACCAAGCTGGGCCTCGTGACCACGCCCTTCACCCAACAGGAGAACACGGTCATCCAGACGTGCGTGGTTGCGTGCTATGGGATTGCAGTCAGTGGTAAGCTCTCCGGGCCGGGATCCCTCTGTCGCAAATCTTGGTTTGCTGGTGATACCGTCCAGGTGGATTCGGCACCTATCTGTTTGGGATGAGCAGCCGGACGTTCCAGGTCATTGGGCCTGACTCTCCTGGAAACAGTGCACAGGATGTCAAGGATCCGGAGCTCGGCTGGATGACTTCGTTCGTGCTTACGTGCAGCTTTGTTGGAATCTTTGCTCTCGTGCCCCTTCGAAAGGTAGTGCTGCTCTTTTAGACTTCGGAGGATGATTAGTCATTCAAGTTACTGCTCTCTAGGTGATGCTGATCGATTACAAGCTCACGTATCCAAGCGGCACAGCCACCGCAATGCTCATCAGCAGTTTCCACAGCAACGCGGGTGCTCACGAAGCCAGGTAACCGGGATTGGATTCCGATACTCCGTTTGATCGTCGTGGTGTTCGTAGGAAACAAGTGGCCTGCCTCGGTAAGTCCTTTGCCGGGAGCTTTGCATGGAGCTTTCTCAAGTGGCTCGTTAGCGGTGGCACTGGAAGCAACTGCGGTTTCGAGCATTTCCGGACGCTGGGGCTCAAAGCCTATGCAAACACGTACGTGACGAGTTCATGGAAAGCTTGAGAGATCTCCTCTCACTTGACTGTGGATATCGAGGCAGGTTCTATTTCGACTTCAGTGCTACATTTGTGGGCACCGGCATGCTGTGCCCGAGCATCGTCAACTTTTCGGCACTAGCGGGAGCCATCCTGTCTTGGGCAATCCTGTGGCCTCTCATCGGTGCCCGAGCTGGGGACTGGTATCCCGCGGGCCTGGAACCTACGAACTTCAAGGGGCTCTATGGATACAAGGTATGTGTGTGTTTTACAAAGGACAAGTCTGAGCTTGCTTGCTTGCTTAGGTGTTTATCGCCATTGCTCTCATCCTCGGCGATGGCCTCTACAATCTTCTCAAGATCGCCGTCATCAGCCTGAGGGCGGCCATGATCCACAAGGCAGGAGGGGACGACGCAACTGGTACGCAAGATCATCTTGGTTTGAAAAACTGACTGTGGAGCTCGTCCATCGGGCTGGCAGGAGTCCCGCTGTTGGATCTGGATCGAGACAAGCTAACCGAGACGTTCACCATGGAGGGCGTGCCAATGTGGATAGCCGCTACCGGATACGTGCTCCTGTCGCTGCTCTCGGTGCTGCACATACCCACGATCATCCCGGCACTACGCTGGTACCACGTCCTCGTCTGCTACCTCGTCGCCCCGGTGTTTGGCTTCTGCAACGCTTACGGCACCGGGTTGACGGACTGGAACCTGGCGTCATCGTATGGCAAGATGGGGCTGTTCGTGTTCGGGGCGTGGGTGGGATCGTCGGGTGGCGGCGTCATGGCTGGCCTTGGAGCTTGCGGCCTCGTCATGTCCATCGCCTCCACCGCTGCCGATCTCATGCAAGACTTGAAGACCGGCTACCTCACACAATCGTCGCCGCGCTCCATGTTCGTGAGCCAGCTCCTGGGGACGCTGCTGGGATGCTTTGTAGCTCCGCTCACCTTCTGGATGTTTTGGAAGGCGTTCCCGGACGTCGGCCTGCCCGACGGGGAGTACAAGGTCCCCACCGCCATCGCCTACCGCCAGATCGCCATCCTGGGTGTGCAAGGCCTGGCAGCTCTTCCGGCCCACTGCCTCGAGTTTTGCATCGCCTTCTTCGCGCTGGCGCTGCTCCTCAATGCCGGCAGGGACTGCTTCTCCTGGCGGTGGCTGCCAATCCCGGTGGCGATGGCGATCCCCTTCTACATCGGCGCCTACTTCGCGGTGGACATGGTAGTGGGCAGCCTGGTGATGATCCTGTGGGAGAGGCTCCGCGGCAAGGACGAAGCGAGCGCGTATGGAGCGGCAGTGGCGTCGGGCCTCATCTGCGGCGATGGATTGTGGACGATCCCCTCGGCCGTGGTGGCGCTGCTCAAAATCAAGCCTCCCATGTGTATGACCTTCCTTCCAACTGCGACTTAAAAAGGAGATTGACTGGATTTGACTGACTCGCTGACTTTGTCCGTTGACCACTCTCTCATGCGCTGCCTCTTCTTCTTCGTCTTCGTCTTCTTTGACTGGATTTGACTGACTCGCTGACTTTGTCCGTTGACCACTCTCTCATGCGCTGCCTCTTCTTCTTCGTCTTCGTCTTCTTCGCCGGTCTCTCTGGAAAAGTTCAAGCACTTTTGAGAAGTTCTCGATCGAGGAGATCTATACCCTTCGTCGGCGGCGCAGGAGCGAAGAGGCGGGAGAAGAGATCCTCCTCATCCCTCGATCGGCAGGCCTAGGAGCGCTTGCAGGGGAATTCAATCGCCTCACCACAAGAGCTCGCCGGCGCGCCCGCGGCCTCGCCGCTGCCCGCCTGAATCCTCTCACGGTACACTCGCCCAGCAGCCGGCTCACCGCCGTCGCCCAAGACGCCAGCATCTTCTCGCAATCGCATTCATCGCATCGCATCTTCGCATTTTCTTGTCCCCATAGGGTCGCGTCCAGTTGCCACGTCGGACGGCGTCCAACGAGTTAGACCTCGCCACGTGGAGGGAGCTAACTAACATTGGCCTTTGTCTTCCTTTTCCCCCTTTTGGTCGTGTCATTGTTTTTTTAATTTTAGACCTAAAGTAGGCTAGAGAGCTCTCCCGGGAGGAGGAGAAAAGAGGGCAACGAAGCAACGCAAATGGCGGGCATTCTTCGTTAGGGCGCGGCGGTAAGCATCCTGTCCCGTCACTCACTCTCTCTGTGCCCAAAATCGATCAATCCATGATGGGGGAGGGAGAAGAAGAGGAGGAAGATTTGCTGCTCCAAGAATGCGGCGGCGTCGGTGGTGTGGGCGGCGGCAAGGAGAGCAGCAGTGGCAGCAGCAGCAGCAGCAGCAGCAGCAGTGACCACATTCTCGTGAGCCTGGGCGCGCTGGTGCCCGATCAAGACGAGGCCGCCCGGCTAGTGGCGGCGGCGTCGCGCTACCACTGCCACGCGCTGCGCGGCCACACCCAGTGCAGCAACGTGGTACCGCAGTGGATCCAGGCGCCGGTGGCGGTGGTGTGGTCGGTCGTGCGGCGCTTCGACAGCCCCCAGGCATACAAGTGCTTCATCCGGGGCTGCGTGCTGAGGGAGGGCGACGGCGTGAGCGTGGGCAGCACCCGCGACGTGACGCTCGTCTCGGGCCTGCCCGCCAGCTGCAGCACCGAGAGGCTGGAGATCCTGGACGACCAGCAGCACGTCCTCAGCTTCCGGGTGGTGGGCGGCGAGCACCGCCTCAAGAACTACACCTCCGTCACCTCCCTCCACGCCACCACCGCCGGCGGCCGCGACGCCACCATTGTGCTCGAGTCCTACGTGGTGGACGTGCCCGCCGGCAACAGCAAGGAGGAGACGCTCACCTTCACCGACACCGTTGTGCGCTGCAACCTCCAGTCCCTGGCCAAAGTGTGCGAGCATCTGGCCTTGCAGCAGCAGCAGCAGCACCAAGATCGATGATACGCTACGATTGTCCATCGATGAGCGATCGATCCCTCTCGCCCCCCCTCCCGCTCACAAGATCTTATGGCCGGATCAACGTAACATATTTACGTGCGTACATGCATGCTATGCGCGATGATATTGGAGATTGTTTTCATGCTTTTCAAAGAAGCACAACACTTCTGGGGCTTGGACAAAAGGGACAGTGCAACATTTGGCCGATAGATGTATCATCACCTCTTGCACTTGGCTTTGGTGGACGAGTTTGTGGACGACGATGGGTGGTGGTGCCAGTTGCGCTTGCGCTGGTTGATGAACCAGTTGTTGATTTGCTTGAGCTCCAGCCCGGTCTCTTGGACCAGCCGCGCCTTCTCGTCCTCCTGCCACATCTCTACCTAGTGAGATCGATGATCCAGCAATGCTGAGAATGCGTCAACTCACGGTTGGATACGGCCATTTGGAGTGAGCATGCCACCACGCCTTGAGAACCGAGGTGGTGTCGCCTGGCAGCTTCCCGGCTCGTCTCTTGCGGAGGATCTCCTCCCGTACGTCCACAATCCTCGCTCTATACCCCTGCAAGAAGCTTAAGTCGGGTCACTCGATCGGAAAGGATGAATCCGAGAGAAAGAAGAACCTGCTTGAGCTCGTGCTTGAGCTCCTGTCTCACGCGCTCCATGAGTGTTCTCTCCGTCTCCGTGGGGATGAGGGGTCCGAATCCCAGATTGTCCTGCCAGTAATCGCTGTCCGACTGCTGCTGCTGCTGCTGCTCCTGCTGGGGCTGCTGCTGCTCGTCCTCGTCGTCGGACATGGTTGCGCCCGTACCCTCCCCCGGCGCAGCTCCTGCTTTTCAACACGCGGTTGGCACTACACCTATGAACATTGGTTCATGAATTTCATGGCACAAACTGTGGAGAATTACCAGTTAGGCTGATGAGCGACTGCTCCAGCTCCCAGCACGCCATCACCGCTTCCTTGGCATGGACGCGAACGTGGTGCTGGAGCTGGTCCTTGAACGACTTGAGCAACATCACGTAGTGAGCCTGGATACAACATACAATAAGCACCACCAACAATCAATACGATGAAATACCATGAAGTGGTCGAGTTCTTCCTTGCTGCTCCCGCACAATAGCTGGTGGTTGGCCAGAATGGAGTACTTTGCAATGGCGTGGTGGCACTGGGAGATTTGCCCGTCAATCCTCGACAGTTGGTCGACTGGAGTGGCAATCCTGAGGCAGGCAACGTGAGCTTCGAGCAGCTGCTCGTACAAGGGATGCGTGACAATATCAGCTTTGAGCCCGGCATTCATCTGGTAGCGCGCAGCAGCACACTCGTCCAAGTCGGGGTCACCTGGAACGGAGCCGTGGCTGGTCACATCCGCTTCCACCGCCCCCATGAGCATCGCCGCCGCCGCCACTGCTGCTTTCCTGTCTTGCTCCACCAGCAACTCGGTGGTGGTGGTGGTAGTAGCAGTGGCCGGACTTGTGTTGGTGGTAGCGGAAGCTTGTTGCTGCTCGAGGCGCCTAACACCCGTGCTAGTAGCACCAGCCGCAGAGAGCCAGTTGGTATAGGACGAAGACGAGGGATTCGGCCAGGCTTGCTGCTGCTGATCTTGTGCCTGCTGTTGAGAGCTTGTTTGCCTCGACAGAGCCGAGTTGAGCCAAGTGGGCATTCCCATCTGCTGCTGCTGCTGCTTACTCGAATCGGCAGCAGCGGCCTCGTCTCCACTCTGCGAGCTGGAACCCATGCTTGTTTGTGCTTACAAGTATAACAGATGCCCGGCCTGGGGAAAATGGCCCCCTTTTTCCTCCGCTCCGCTCTCTAATCTAGGGAGCATATGCCTCCCTCACGACAAGAATGTGTAGCTGCTCTTGTGCTTTGTGCTGTCCTTTCTCCTGGCTGCTTCGAGATTTCTGGCCTGGCTTGACGAACGACCACCGGAGATTGATCAGAGGAGGAGCTCCACGGCTATGGATGGAACATGGGAAAGAGAAGCTAGCTTTTCTCCCGCTCCAGCACCTAGGACCTAGGCCTACGAGTTAGCGCTCCACCATACACTTGACTAGAGCAAGCAACAAACAAGGAGCGAGGGAAGGGGACCATATCTATACCAAGCATCAGCATATAGACAAACTCCAGAAATTAAAACAACAGCATTGATGCAAGGATGGTAATTAGATGGAAGGCCAAGGCAAGCCACTTTCTCAGCAGTCCTAGTCGCAGTCAAAATCAATCAACAGCAAGAGAAAAAGAGAGATGCATATGCTTCTCTTTAGAAATCCTTGGAAACAAGTAGGTGAAACATTGTACAAAGCAACAAACACATATGATCACCAACTAAGCGGCCCTGGCACTTGCTTCAAGGCGGACACGAATCTGGGTGGGATTTCCAAGCAAGAGGAACGGAACTGGAACTCGGGTTGCAGTCAGTGGACTGTGCAGTGAAGTGAGTGCAGAAGTTGCAGCAAGCAAAGCTGCAGACACAGGTGCAGGTGCAGGAGGAGGAGGAGGAGCAGTAGCAGGAAGGAAGGACCTTCAAGGAAGCAAGCAGCACAAAAACAAGACAGGCCAACACTGGCCCCTACCAAACATCCAAAGTCAAACTACCTTATGAAAGATCCCAATGTAGGAATAGGAGGAGGGTGTACCTCCTGCCTCTCTCTCTCTCTTTGTCTATCTATCTATCACAGAGACCCCAAAAGCGACCACAAGCACAAGCACCAATTGAAGCAAACATAATTCTCAGCGAGAGAGCACCTCTCGCTCTCACTCACTGGGGTTGATGCGTACTTGATTTGATTCCGTGTGGTCCATCCAGCCATCCATCTATCCATGCTCCATGCGTCCAAGTTCCAAAGTCTTAGTCGGATCCATTGCTTAAAGTTGCATCACGTACTTAGCTCGTAATCCAGTCGGCCTTTTGCTTTGGTGTGGTTTTTCTTAAGTCATGCAATCAAGGAATGCAAAGCGAAGCCGTTCTTACTATAATTGAGGTCACTTTCTGTAAATCAGCTGGATGCCCGTGCGAGGCATCGCTTCCTACATAAAAAAAACTATCCCGTTCTTTCCAACAGCATGACACTAAGAGGGTATATATATATATGTGGAGACCAAGTGAAAGTCGGATGGATGGATATAAAAAAATCTTTTTCTGCTGTTGCTGCTCGCTTCACTCACTAGCGGAGCTCGAGGATGTGGATGTGGAGGCCTTTCCCTGCTTGGGTGCGCACCATTTCGCATTCAAGTTGGACGTGGACATTTCCTGATGCTGATGTGCGAGCAGCAGGGACTTCTACGCTGGCCACGACGAGGAGTTCGATTCCACCTCCCAGCCGAGCCACCACTCCATACCTATACATCATACACGGACAGGCGATCCCCGATGTAACTTCTGCATATCGGGCAGTGTTTACATCTCTCGGAGCACACGCTGCCAACAAAGCCAGTCAGTAGGACGCCACCACAACGGACTTCAAACATCAACCTGCAAAGGACTCGATGTTTACACAGAGTAACATTATGGTTATGTCACGCTCAAAGCACACCCGGC